GAGTAGGTGCAGGCGGCGATGCTAAGGGGCCAGGCTTGATGCAAAGGAGCCGTAATAAGGTGAGGTTTTGACAGGTTTGGCATGCTTGTAGGCACGTAGGCACTTCTAGACCTAGACTTAGACTAGGTGGTGATATATAAGCTCGTACGCGAGCCCGTACGGAGGCTATACGAATTGGAAAGGCTATATAGCCGTACGTGAGGCTATACGTAAGGCTATATATACAGCTGCACAAACTGGAAAGAATACGCCGCAAAATGGAGAGGCTATATAGCTATGCTGATTTGTATAGCCTCACGTATAGCCTTACGTACAGCAGAGATGCACGTGCAGATAGACGTAAAGGTGAATGTTCGGAGGCCTCCTGCCGGACCTCCGAGCCAATTAGAAGGCGGTGAAGTAACAGGGGGGTAAAGGGTGTACGATTAGTTGTTAGGGGGTGTACAATTATTCGTTAGGGGGTGTACGATTAGCCCTCCCCCCGTTTTATTGCTTTATCTATTAGGGGCTAATATCTAAGGTAGGGAGGTATATAGTAAGGTGGACTAGTACCACTCCTAAATCCGGAAAGCGCGCCGATAGGGCTGGCTGTGATGGACACGTGACCTAGGTCACGTGCCTAGGACCTTTATTCGATGCGAGCTCCGCTCACCACGCACGCAATATTATCCATTACCTATTACTAAACCACGCGGCATTATTATCTACTACGTAGTTACGCTCCGGAGGCCTTACGGCCAGGAGCAGAATATACGACCTTACCCCACTACAGTACTATTACTTTGCTATATAAACGCTGTAAGCTAAAATATTCTTAGCCTTAGAAGTTCTATAAAAGTAGCCGCCAGGATATTTAAATGCCGAGGACAAGGCGCTTTATATTAATCTGGAACAGGCTCTTCTTAATTTGCGTATAGCGTGGGATAGGGTATCGGGCATGGCATGGTTAAAGGAGTTGATGGTGTCGATGCAGGCATCGGACCAAGCGGTCTGACCTTCGGGCAACACGGGAGGACCAGAGAAGTCAACATCCTTGGTGAAGCGAACGAAGATCTTATAACGGTTCCCCTTGCCCTTCTTAACGTTGGCGCGGCCCTCTTCCTGGTAGAGGTTAAGCTGGATGCAATATTCAAGGCGAGGAAGCTTAAAGGACGACCTGGCTGGTGTTAGCCAACTCCATGCGTGGGTGGGGTGAGATGGAGGGACACTCACCAAGCAAGGTTCTGGAATGCCTGAGCGACGTCTCTGTAGGGGGTAGTCACCTCCCACTTCACCAATGCGGCATTCCACACACACGCCAGGGGCAAGCTCCACACCGTCGAGGACACCACCGACTGGCTCAACTCCTCCCTCTCCTCCCTCTCCTCCCTCTCTTCCCTCGAGCCGCTCAAAGCCGCGCTACGCGTCTTTCCAATATTGTCTTCATCCACATCTGTTCCGTCCAGCCTCCGCTTGCGTTTCGCCCTCTCAGTCTCCTTATCCCCCGTTCCCGCCTTCGCCTGCGCGAGCTTTAGCGCTGCAGGCCTCGCAGCCTTGAATGTGTCGACCAGCTCTTGCACCACCAAATTCCTCCTCAGCTTATCCGCCTGGTCGCTAGCGTGGCAGGCCGGGCGCTTGCCGTCGGCGTTGAAACAGCGTCTGATGCAGATAGGCAGAAGGAGTGCGAGCGCGTCGTGATCATGGGCGTGTCATGGAACTCCTTGCACACTTGGCAGTGTCGCAGGAAGCGAGAAGCTGTCCTGCTTGATATGCGAATGGCGATGAGACGGGAGAGAGTGGGCATCGCTTCTAGGCGCGTTTGTTTGAGCTAGCTACATAACAGAAAGATTACATGGATAAATAATGATTCGATACCAATAACGGTAGCCGTGAACTGGGAGTTTCTGAGCGTTGCTGGCACAGGCGAGAATTACACGGAGGGCAGAAGGGTCGGGCTCTCCCTGCAGAGCTCTCGCTCAAGTACATATATTTCCATCGAGCCATAAGACACTCCTGTCTGCGAGACACGTGCAAGATGTGGTGAGCTGCGGCTTGAGTGATGAGTACAACGGTGGGAGAATCTCCACGCTGGAGCAAAGAACGACGCTCCAGAAGAACTGTCACCCCAGAGCTCAGGATGCATCGAAGTGCCGACGATTTGACCCAGATACGAAGAGCGTGACGCAGAGTCGGTCAACGCAATACACTAGCGGCTCGTCAGCATCCCACGGTGCGGTTTATCTCCGTCGCGGGTCCAACGAAAGAAAGATCACGATACGCCCAAGGGAAAACCCGTGTTGGTGGACTAAGTATGCTGCAGAACCTAGAAACCTAGCATCGATGTTTTCGCATCAATGTGAGCAGAACGTCGCAACGAAGCCCCATCATGTAGCACACCAGACTGAGAAAAGAGGGGCCCGGGACTCATGAAGGTGATGGAAACCCGCTGTGCACCCGATGCGAGCGGATCTCTTTCAAGGCGCCGCTCGAAGAGTGTTGAGAGCTTGGGAACGAAACCGCCTCTCTGGGGGGCAGGATGGGTGCGCAGTGTACAATAGCATCGAAGTAAACGGAGAAACCGCTCGGGGGCCCATGCCGTGAGGACCGCGACCGCTGCACGAAGAGTGGAAAGAGATTTCGCGCGTGGTGCCGGTGGCGAAAATAGAGATAGGACGGGAACCTTGCGCAGCAGGAAAAGAGACCTCGTACTGTAGAAGCACCAGGCAGGCGTGCGTGGGAGAACGCGGGGAAGAGCGCAAAGAGGTAAGGTTAACCGGCCGCGGCAGAAGTGCATGTAAGCCTTGCCCAGGACGGGCTGGCGCGGCGCAGGCGTGGCCGCGCGCTGGGTTTCGGGCGAGGCTAGGAGCGTCGATATCAACGCCTATCGAAAAGCTTCATCCAGCCCCGATATCCAGATAGCTGGTTGACTCGATAGGAACTACTAAACACTGTCAAACGTCAGCGCAGCGCGCGCCCCTGCGGCCGTTTGGCACGCACTGGCCTCGGGTCGCGCCTCGCAGGCTCCTTCGCCTCAAGACCCTGGCCGCGGACGTCGCTAATCGGGCATAGGTGCCGTGGTGCCCAGCCGCTGGTGATAAGATGGGAGGCTTGCTTGATGGCATCGAGTAACAGCGCGCCGCCCGCAGTGTCCTCACCACTGGCACCGTACCTGCTTCGCAACCCCTCCCCGCCGACTGTCGTACGTTGCGCACACGACTCTGGCGCCTCCCTTCAATCAGCTTGCGGGTGTCGGCGCTTGATAGGCAGTGGCCGCAGCTTCTTATCTCTTCAATGCCTCAGCCAGCCAGCTGATCGGCCGCTTCCTCGATCCCCTCGAGCTCCCGATAGCCCGCCAGGTGGATGATGAGAAGTCTCGATGAACTGCATTAGGCGAGGCCTGATCTTCCTTTTTCCTTCTTATCGGGTCCTTGGGTCCCTCAGCCTTAAATATATAGCCCAGGTCCCTGGTCTGCCCTTTCTTCGACGTCTCGCCCGCTAGACTCGACACTATCGCACACCACCACCGCCCACCATGGCATCTGACGAGAACAAGGGCTTCTACGAGGAGAAGAATGCCTCCCCAACCACCTCTGCCGTCGAGCCTGCCAAGACCGGCTACGTGTCCGGCCTCAAGAGACGCCTGCCCGGCTTCAGCCTCGAGGTCCGTCAAGAGGAGAGCAGCTTTGCCGTCTCGGCGAGAGCCTCCAATGCCGACTTCGACCCCATCCCGCCGTCGAAGCGCACCTGGAACTGGGGCGCCTATGTCGCCTACTGGATGGCCGACGCCTGGGCTGTCTCCAACTGGGAAGTCGGTGAGTCCCTCGCCATGTGCTTCGTCTGTGGAATCAAAGTGCGGTTGTGCTGAAACTCTGGTCGCGCAGCTTCTTCCATGATCGCCGTCGGCCTCAGCTGGAAGATGGCAATCGGCGCCTGTGTTCTCGGCAACACGATTATGGGTCTCGTCATTACCGTCAATGGCAGAATTGGTGCTACTGTGAGTTGTGTCATTCAAAAGGTCGAGCGGGCCTAACTTGGGATAGCTTCACACACCGTTCCCCGTGCTCGCACGCATGCCATTTGGCTACTACTTCAGCTACTTCGTCGTCTTGTCCCGCTGCGTCCTCGCCATCGTCTGGCTCGGGTGAGTTTGTCCGGCCAATCACTTCATCGCTTCAGGAGGCTCACTGTACGCAGTGTCCAAACCACGACTGGCGGCCAATGCATGACCGTCTTGCTCACAGCCATCTGGCCGAGCTTTGCCAACATACCCAATCACATACCCACCAGTGAGGGTATCACCACGGCGGGAATGTGTGGATTTGTGCTCTACTTCCTGCTTCAGCTTCCATTCCTATGCATACCTTACACCAAGGTATGGCCCTGCAGCTAACTTTCCCCTGCTTCATGGACCCGACTAACCCCACCAAGGTCCAATACTTCTTCGCCTTCAAGAGCGTTATTGCACCAATCATTTTCTTGGCCATTTTCGGTGACACGCTGCACAAAGCCGGCGGCACCATCAGCAATAGTACCGTCATCACCCAGGGCACTACTGTACACGGTTCGGTCCTCGCTTGGGCCTTTTTCGCCAGTAAGTGATGTTCTGCACCCGCATCTCCTCGCCTCCCTCTAACCAGAGTCCCTCTTGCAGATCTCAACGGAGTCTTGGGCAACTACGCCACCTTGGGCCTGAACATCGCCGATTTTTCGAGATACGCCAACAAGCCCAGCGCACAGAACGTCCAAGCCCTCGTCATCCCCGTCATCTTTAGTGAGTACCTCCCCACCCATTCTCACGTCCATCTTGCTAATCATCTGGATCGATAGCTATTGTTGGCCTGCTTGGCATCTTTACTGCCGCAGCCGCTCAGTCCGCATATGGCGATATCATCTGGAACCCCATCGAAATCCTCAGCCTGTGGATGAAGTCCGGGTCCCACGCTGGCCGTGCTGCTGCCGCCTTTGGCGCCATCGGCTTGCTCATTGTCACTCTCGGTATCAACATCTCGGCCAACTCCATTAGTGCAGCCAACGACCTCATGTCGTTCTGTCCCAAGTACATCAACATCCGCCGTGGTCAATTGCTTGCTGCCGTCATAGGTAGCTGGGGCTTCGTTCCAGTAAGTCGACCGGCCTTTTTGCAAAGCTACCATTCCCCCGCTGACCACGACCGTAGTGGAAAATCCTCGCATCAGCCGCAAAGTTCCTTGCTTTCCTAGGCGGCTACACCATTTTCCTAGGCCCCATGACATCCATTATCATCACCGAGTTCGTCTCCCAACAATCCCACATAGCCTCTACCTACCAAGTCCATATCCACTAACCCGTTTTGTTTCGTGTCGCAGCTACTACATCGTCCGACGCGGCAACGTGTCCGTACCGGACATGTACAACTTCCACGGCATCTACCGCTACTCGCCTAGATACGCTAGCAACTGGCGCGCCGTCGTCGCCTTCTTCATCGGCTGCATTCCCCCGCTCCCCGGCTTCGTCAACAACATCGTTGAAGCGGGCAATCAGAAAACCAGCGTCTCTTTGGGCGGTCAGCACCTGTAAGCCTCTTCCATTCCCTCTCCCTGCACGCAACTTGCTCGCAAAGAGCTTGTCGCTAGCCAACGTCGAGCGCAACTTGGTCGGAGCCACGCTAACATCGTGCAGTTTCAACATCGGCTACATCTACTCCTTCGTCGCCGCCGGCGTCTTCTACTGGGGCTTCAATCGATTTTTCCCGCACCCCGAGTCCTTCATGGACCACCCCGAGACGGGCGAGGACATCATTGCGGCCAACGACGCCAAGAATGTTGAGCAGCGTCGCGCGAGTCGAGCTGAGCGGAGGCCGAGTATTGTTGCTCAGATCTTCGAGGTTTAAGGGTCTGGCATGACTTCGCTTTCGTCACGATCGTTTAAATCGTTGAAGGGCCGAGCGGGTGGAAGGCTGTCTTTCATTAATCCCGCGCATGACTGCGCACATTCCTCCAAAGATATATAGATAGACAACTCGTGTACGAGTAAATGTGTAACGGCCACAAACATGCGTAAAACACAGCTTCTGTCCATTGCCAATGAAGTGTACACACCCATTTTGTCAAAGGATCGTGGTCTTCTTGTGTCGCCAGACGTCCTCAGGATGGTCTCACATGGGCCCGAGTTTAATCACTGGTGGATTTGTGAGAGCAAGCTGCTGTTTCCATTTTCTCTCACAATTGTGATCTAGAATTACGCCCTCAAAAACTCTCTTTCAAGTTCCTCCGATATCGTCACCACTAAATTGCCACGCCCTCATCCACCATGGGCGACCCCAAGCCTGGCGCACCGCGCCAGAGGTGCTTTTCTCCACAAGCACGGTGATGTAATCTTCCAGTTGGACAGGGGCGATAAGGAGTCGTGACCGTGACCCGTCTGCAAGTCTCTTGTTGCATCGAGCATCATCACGGCGGTTGCCCCGGCGTTCCAAGCTTTGTTCACGGGCGGCTTTGCAGAGAGTTGGATAATACAGACTCACTCATCCTCCAAGCGTCCCCAGCTTTGAGTTCGGGGATCGCTCCCAATCACGATCGCGACACGCAGTGTGGCCAGCAGCGTTGTGCCCCAGTACCAATCTGTTAGTGTATGCTTGATAGCTAGCCGCAGTGATGACAAGTCCCCGTCTAGAGGTGGGACTCCTTAGGCTGGACTCCTCGGATCAAGTGCAGTTCTTGCAGAGCGATGGCAGCTTCGTTAAGGTAGCCGCGGAGACCAGGACTTCCCTCGCCGCAGTGACGGCAAGCGTCTTGCTGATCCCTGGATCAGATCGAAGAGAGATGAGGAAGTTGGGAACGAAATGACCTGCGCGAAGTTACGTCACTCGGCCGCCGGCCGCAGCTGTAGCATGGCTAGGATGAGTTTAGTCGAGGTATTCGAATTTGATCTGAGAGAAAAGAACGGAATCGAACGCGAAGAAGAAAATCGCAGCTCTTACAGGGGGCTCGCAAGATGCCATCCGCGGGAACCTAGACGCGCAAATGAGCTCCGCTTGCTGAGTTGCATAGAAGGGGAAATGGTGCTGACAGTGAATATCGCGGAGCTACTCACGCTCGAAAGAAGGCTGCGTCATACTGATTGCTGGCGGAAACACCAGGAGTTCGTCAGATAGATTGAAGTGAACATGAGTTTGTATTGTGGTGAATGTGCGAGCTTATATACGTAATTAAAAGGAGAGTAACGTGACTAGGTGTAGCTACGTAGTGCGGAAGCTGATAAAGCAGCTACATACTTATACGTACTGAAGCCGTATAGATTTACGCTTACTGTAGATATAGAGGCGGAGGTGTCTACCCAGCTAATAGATTATACAGATCGATATAAGGATCTATAGGTTAAAGCTTAAAAGGAATTCTAGCAGTTATACCCTCTAGGTTTAAGGTAATATATTATAAGGCTTAAAACTATAAGGAAATATATAGTATAGTATAAAATAATAGGTATATAATTAAAGGGGTGTTCTAAAAGAGGTATATATATTAAATATTTTCTACTTATTTCTAAATTAAGGCCTATATTAGTTCTCATAAAAGGTAGAGTTTAATACTAGTTAAGATTGAAGGAAGGAAATTGAAAGCGAGTGACTGACGAATGCTATGATACCAAGAACTGCCCTACCAACTGTCAGGTTCCGGAGAAGATGTGAGGGAGCAGTTACAGAAGAAATTGCGAGAGTGGGTCTATGGGTCGCGATTGAATTGATAAACACGGGAAGATGCCTTATCAAGTATGTACACATCGTGGCGAAAGAGATATCATTATCGAGCGAGGCTTGTTTGAGAACTCCGTGAAGTCTCAGCCTCAATCCTTCGCCCTCAGGTTCTCCCAATTGCGAGAGGAAAGAGGCGCAAGATGTCGAATTGGTCTATATTCTGCTTAAGGCGTGCCTTGATTGTACCTACTCCTCCTTTCATTGGGTGCAGTCGCTTACCTCATAATCTTTCAACGCTGCACCGAGCAATTGAACCTCCATCACTGTGCATACCCCGAATACGGGTGCGTGTAAGATACACCGTCTGGCATAGGTGTAGAACAACGCTATGTAAGCTGCGGCGCGAAGGATCAGACACGCAACTATATCTGAGGCTGGATCGAGGCGCCAGATGTTAGCGCTCAGCCGTAGATCGGAGTGGGAATGGGTTCGCTTGGGAAAGCATGTCGAGGCGGCCCTCAGCTACGATGGTAAGACTTTAGCGATGCACAACTGACAACTACAACCGAAACATAGAATAAAATAAACATCGTCAGAGTGCTTAATTTGAAGTTAAGGAGTGATCGCCGTCTCAAGACTCGAAGTGGCAATCGCTCACAGTAGACTACTATCACCCTAGCACACCCTAGCGGAATAACCGCAGTCGCACACTTTGCAACACAGCACAGTAGTACGCGAAGATGATAAGCTCTTATTTTTAGACCTGGTGCACAGTAGATGTGGTATTTTCATTTCTTCAGTCGCTGGAGGCAAAGCCACGAGATTCTGTTAATTCGGCACCTTTCCTCGCTCAGACGCTTAGTCAAATGGCCAATCGACTCTTAAGCTACTTGAACTCAGCATAGCCCTTGCCGTCGATGAATGTATAGTCCCACGGTCCTTGCTCCGGGTTCTCTGCAAGTTCGACGTACGCCTTCCCAGCAGCCGGGCCATTCACTGGGATGGTAGGACCCCCATCAGGTTGCCGCTCATCAGCGTAGTAGAATCTAGAAAGTGTCAACACGGAACTAGTCCCCATGACCAATTCGAGTGATCGGAATGTGGCGCTTGAACTCACTTGAAGCCCTTTGACTTGTAACCAACACTAGCAGAACGGATCATGTGAGCGGCCGCAGATTTGGTCATCCCAAAAGTCAAAACACTCGGCAATACAATGGTGTTCAAGGCGTTGCCAGTCTGGATGAAAGTCCGCGACGCTGAGCTAGGAAGTTGCTTGAAGCCTTTGACGGCTTCTTGAGCCGCAAATAAGGGCGCAATGGTGTTAATTGCGAATTCGCTCTTCACGTCTTCGAGGGAGATTGAGGAAAGGGGATCTTGGGCATCTCGTGGTATTCGGTAGGCAGCTAATGTCATTGTCAGGAAGCCCGCACTATATGAAGATGCAAACCCGAGAGACTGGAGAGATGCAATAGAAAGGATAACGCAAATGGCTTACCATTGTACACAACGACGTGTGGTATCCCCAATGTCTCCGTCACCTTCGTGAACACCTTTTCGACCTCAGTCGTTTGTGCCAGGTCAACTTGTATACGGAGAAATCCATCTTCGTCCACGCCATCCTGCAGACTTCTTGCTGCAGTCGCAACCTTGTATCCTTTGGCTGCGAAAGCTTTGGCGACAGAGAGCCCAATACCTGGGCCAGCACCAAGAACGAGAAGTACTGGGGCAGACATGATGTAAAGGCGTTCCTGTAGGAATTCGAAGCTAATGCGGAAGATATGAACCCGATGCGGAAAATGGTAGAAGAAAAGTAGCCGTGCGCGCGACTTACCTTTCTATCGAAACTATTCGGGCGTTGGAAGAGGCCGACGAGCGAGTGTGATACTGGCTGCTTAGAAATGCAACATGGCATCATCGTCAGAGCTGGCAAAGAGATGCGGTTTAATTGGTCCACGCCCAACGCAACACATTGGCTTTTGATCCTTTTACTACGAATGCCAGAACGTTCGCAACGATACCTAGTCAGGTGCCAAGATATATGGGACTACAGCTAGGTATAAGCTAGGCCCTGCTATGTCTGCTACGTCTGAGTGGCCAATAGCCCATGGGACCCGCATTGTTCAGTAATCATTTCCAATGCTAACGCCCCACTAAAGCTATTGCGGAAGTAGGTCTACTGACTCTGCATTGACCCCAGAAACTGTCGTTTTATCTATCGGGTTTCCTTCGGGCCACGAAGAATCCCATATTTTCTGTTCAATTCTTGAACAGCTGTCGTAACTCGGCTTCTCTTACCATGATCATCGACAAGACCGTCACCGGAGGAAAGATCGTTCGGTCCAGGTATTCTCTTGAATTGCTAGTCTACGGCTAGCTTCAGGATCGAGACCCAAGACGTCATTGTAGAACCTCGATGTCGGCAACGAGTGTCAAGGTGAGAACTTAGGAACTCGCATACTGTCTGATCTTCATCCTGAAAACCGTTTTCGTATCGCTGGATCCTGCCTACTGGGTCGTGTCCATGGCGAGGCTGAAAGCTAAAGAGCCTGTATAGCGTAAAAGTGCTCGTTATCTTGAAATCATTCAAGTGCATCACCAGTTCTCTCCTAGATCGGCATTTCAAGGCCAGAGGATCGGATCGCTCCGATTCCTTCTGAACCTACGACTTGGGCCTCGAGATATGTGCAGTACAAATCTTGTGCTGGCCCATCGCCGGCGAAGTGAAGTTGAGGGCTGGGAGGAGGCATCAAACCGAGGTCACTGAGGCTGATGAGGATAATCGCATTTAAGGGATGCTCTATGATCTTTTCAGCGGGGTCCGGTGGAAGAAGGAGATGGGAAGCGCGAAAGGGTGTGGGAGAGATTCTTCGAAGCGTAGGGCAATTCGAGTTCTTCTCCCTTTCAATTTTCAGCCTCACAGACACCCACACATTCTCGACGACACTCATCAAATATTCATCAGAACCCATCCCTTCCTGCGTTTTGCAAGGAGTGCTGCCTACAGCCCTACGGAAAATGACACCCTGCGATGATCGTGGCGTTTCGTTCTAGAATATCTGAAGGAACATGAGGGAACGGTTTGGCCCTTAGATCAACAATTTGCCCTCCTCGGCCTTGAGATTATAAGGGTGAAAGGGTAGCAGTGGCTCTCCTGCATGATGAACGTCATCCTCCATCGCCCCATGACCTTAGAGGCCTCTCAACTTCTCCATCGTCAGTCCAGTCTGTTTGGTCATTTGCCGAGCTAGCTTGACTTAGGCTCCCAGATCAGCAAGTTGTGTTTTCAGCCTTGTCACTTGCATCAGTGCAGCTCCAGCCTGACAACTTTTATGGCTCTGATCGCTGGGCCAGGCTACTCAGCGACCTATCATCCGGGCGTTCGCCTACTCTAGTTGGCTACAGTGCTATCTTTCCATGACGCATCTCAACTTCATCTCTGTTTGTCAGCCTGGTGCTTGGTTGCCTTCTCCTGTGCTCGTAGCGTCGCAACCGGGGATGATCTTCAAACTAAGAAGCAGTCTGACGCTCAACTCGCGCTCGCGCTCGCTCTTAACTCACCTTCGACTCCACGGATGTGCTCTACGGACTTGGTAGGACTAACTACGGTTTCTCCGCGGCCTGTACACGTGCTCAGTCACGACATCTCCGTATACTATATCTAAGCTGGCTTTCCGGCGACGGAACGTTCCCGAACATGGTACCATTCGAGGCGATTCCTGATCCTGCTCAGTACTAACGATCCTAAGGCGTGGTCCACATGGCGTTCTTCCGCGGCGTTCGTTCTAATGAGGGTGCTGTTGATGCTTGCCATTCTTATTAACTTCGTCTGGCTAAAGCTGTCAAATATTGCAAGAGACCTTTGGCAGCGAAGAACCAAGTCTAGGCGACCCGAAGAATCCAAGCCCGTCGTGCTGCACAGCCGGCGGAGAGTTGTAGCTGACATGCTTCCTCATATCGCTCCCATAGCAATCTCTTTAGGCGTCATACAGCTTAGCATTCGTCAAACCTACTGGAAAGACCTGACCGCTATATCAGACGACGCGAGATCGCAGCTCGCCTCCCTACAAGTCGCTGCAAAAGCCCATGAAGTTCTGGTCATATTTTCGCTAACCACGGTGCTGTTTCATCATATCAAACATCAGCTGTCATCTCCTCACGGCATCACGTTCGGGGTGCTGACATCCGGCTATCTCGTGGGTACCGGAGGCTATCTCATCCAGCGCGACTTCTGGAACAGCCTCCATTCCGCAAAACACGGACTTCCGTGGCGAAACTGTTGGAGGAAGACATGGCTCATCATCTTCATGTTGATTGCCACTTCGGTGGCCATCATCCCTTAACTTGACTGGTGGCCAAATGGGGAGCTCAGCGGGGCCGCCCTTGGGGGTCAGTTTCCAGTAGTCGACTTGCATGACACTTTCCATGGCGAATACCGTTTGACACCCTCGTCAGCCCGATTCTACCTTTGTATCTCCCTCATAAGAGCGAAGACGTCTGGCCAATCATCCTCAACGCGTCCCATCTACCAGACACCGGATGTCTGAATGACTCCGCGTCGCTTTTGTTCCAGTGCCCCAATGGCGGGTACAACGAAATCATGGGAATGCTGGGAAACGACATGCGAGGTACCCCTCCAGAGTATTGAATCCTAGGTTTGATCTTGTTAAGATATATATATCTCGCAGGTACCCTTCTAACGCCCGGAGTTGCCGTTCGAGCTACCTGTCGACGGGATGCTCTGCCTGCCCGCTATGTTCCTCTACCGATTCTACCACTCCCATCCACGAATATCACATTCTGGGAGACCCCAAAAGAGATGAAAAACAGGTGTTCTCGAGACCATGTTTTTGACTTGACGAATATCTGGACGTCCGAGACTCTGATCAATCCGCCGAGGGAGAAGGTCACATCCTCAATGCTTGACCTTTCATCTACTTATGGCACTTCGGTCCTCGGAGCGGTCTTTCTCATACCCGGAAATCTTATCAACGACCACCGTCCATGGGCCGGGGCAGGAGGAGAAGAACCGAGTTGTAACGTGTGCAATTGAAGCCACGTGGGTGAAGTACGAGATCTATGCGGCTTCCACCACTCCCCACCTCGCACAAGCTGTGCTGGGTCTAGATAATGACACACTTGCTGCCGCTACTTACGCCAATCTTCAAACGTGTTCATCCCGTTATCTAGAATACGCACTAGAAGCTAAATCATCAGTACGTGCTGGCTCTAGAATCCACATGGACCCAAGTTGGGCGTCGTCTTTAAACCAAGCCCGGCCGAACTCGAGTGTGACGACGCTTGAGAATCTCTTCCAAAACTTGGCTGCGCAGGAAAACTTTAATCGTAACAGTCTCGACGGATTCTCGTCCACGTTGGTGGCATCTGTCTTTGCAGATGGCATTTCTCGAGTTGGCATAGACAAGCACACTTTGATCATCGACCCAAAGTGTAATGGTGACGACTGCGACCAAGTGTATATCATGAGAAATCTCTAGCAGTAGTATTAGCTATTACCTCTCCGTAAGCGCATGATGGTGCCAGAAAACATCACCGACAGCTGGATGCGCGTACAGTTCCCAATCTACCGCTACGGGTACGGCTACAGCTTCCACGGCATTGCCATCAGGCGGGCGATGATTCCTTTGATGGCACATATCGCTCTGGCAACTATGCATTGCACCTGGCTTTTGTACAGCGGCACGACGTATCCAAGTTGGAATAATATAGGGGAGGTCATCGCGTTGACTATGGGACCATGGCCGTGTCTGTGCTTCGAGGCACCGCTTCTGGCATCAAGAACTCGGAGACCTGAGCTCGACGAATTGCCATCCGCACAAAATCGCCAGGAGTTCAACTCGCTTCGTTAGATGGTCGTGAATATCTAGAATTGGTATTTCAGCAAGATGGAGAGAGCTTTGGTGGAGCGAAAGATCCCCACAGGGCGAAGATACCGGTCGCCCAGGAGTCTTACTACTAACAGCACGTGCATCTTGATCGTTCACAAGATTCAGAGCTCACGAGGCTATCTTACTATCAAGGATTCTTCGCTTGGCACAGACTTTCTTCACTTGTGCTGGAAGGTTATGGAGGGGCCCGGTCTCGCAGCACCATCTTTCGACATCGTTAAAGCTGTCTGAAATGCATAGACCGTACTGTATTGTGTCACCGAACCCAATCCTCGTTCGGAGACCCGTATCGTGCATACGAACCGATGACATGCCGTTGTTGATGGTCACAGAATCTGAGAGATGGCTTCGCTCCTACCTACAAAGCTGAGGCTGGTGCGAGCGTGGGGCAGCGGGGGACTGAAGATCGCCTCATCAGTGAAGAGGCACGAAGACTTTCTCCAGCCTCAAATAGTTTTTGATTTGGATGAAAGTTCACTACACTCCTTCTCCTATACTCTCCACTGCATTCGCTTTGAAGATCTCAGCTACTTAGAATCCGCCTTGGTTCCATATACGTGCGCTGATCCAGAGCGCTGGGTATGACCTCTTCCGGTTAGCTCAAGCAAGCCATCCCGCAACATGGTCTGAAATCGAGGCGCGATGCGTAGCATCTTGGGACCTGATACCTATGCTAGCTTTCTAACTTCTTAAGGCCTCTCAGCCTCATCGGATATGAAGATCTTCAAGTCAGACTTGCACCCGGGCGGCAGATGCCTCCTGATCTGTCCATATTGCGGCGTTGCCTATACGCGTATAAGCTGCCAAGTCTCAAAGTCGTACAGCCACAGACCTTTTGACGGAGACCGAGCCTGAGTCGGATTGAGTAGGCTATTTATGCTTGGAAGCGCTGTGGGCTGACTTTACTTCAGACGTCATTCAAGGTAGAGATGGTCAACGCTTGAAAGCTTCAATTGCACGCTGAGATATAAGTATGGCCAATAGCCCTCGAATCTCAAGTATCATACTATCCGAACACCCTCACTGCCAAAACACACGTTCAAGATGCGTCTCTCATTACAATGCCTTATCATCATCTCGATCTATACCACGGAAGCCTACTCTAATGTCCTAGGGCCCAGATATCCAGCTCCACTCGACTTGACTAGCGATGACAGCGTGGTCACCGCTGGGTGGAAGAATGTCACCTCGTTCTTCGACACATATCTTCACGACAACCGATCGTTAATACCGAGTCCTCCCCTTGGATTGGAGAATCTCACTTTCTCCACTGGCATGTTCTCCATTCACGACCCTGCGGCCCAATCTTTACAATACCACTACACCTCCGATGAAGTCAGAACCGGTCCAGGTGTCCACGAGGTAGATGGCGACAGTATCTACAAGGTCGCCAGCATCACCAAACTCATCACAGTCTTCACAGCCATGCTGTCCTTCGACGTCGATCAGTGGGAACGCCCGATCACCGACTTCGTCCCCGGCCTCTCCAAATCCGCGCTGGACAAAGTTGGGCATGATCGTATTAGCCACACGCAGTGGGAGGATGTCAGTCTACGTGCTCTTGCAGCTCAAATTGCGGGAGTGTCCGCTGTGGACTTGCCGTGGGGCTCAGATAGTGCGTTGACCATCGACCCTACAACCGTCGCCATAGTTGCGAATCCGCATGCTCTAGAGGCAGGCCTACCACCTCTAAACTTGAGCGACCCAGCAGCCCTTTACCCTTGCTTAAAAGATCCGATCTTAGTTTACATGGACCCGCTCAAAGGCTGCCCTCCAGACTTGTGGCTCGAGGGGGAACTGGAACGCGCTCCAGCATTCGACGCCTGGACGACTCCTGCGTATGCCAACAATGGATTCATACTGCTTGGTATAGCCCTCGCGAACATTACTGGCAAGCCTATCACTCAAGTGTACGACGATCTGGTGTTTGATCCTCTTGGGATGGCCCATTCAAAGGCTGTACCTCCGACGGAATCGGAAGTCCCTCAATACGTATCTCCTGGAAACACGACCGATGTGACCTTTCAAGGCGGCCTATCCGTCTCCAGCGGTGGCCTTTTCTCCTCTTTAAACGACCTTGCGACATTCGGAACAGCTCTGATGAACTCCACCCTCCTGCCCGCGAACAAAACCCGCGAGTGGATGAAGCCCATCTCCCACACGGCCGACCTCACTTTCTCTGTCGGCGCGCCCTGGGAGATATACCGATACATCCACGCAGACACAGGCGCCGTCACTGACATGTACACGAAATCAGGCGACGCTGGCAACTTTACCGGCTTCGCTGTGATGCTACCAGACTATGACGCTGGGTTTAACATTATCAGCGCTGGTAATCAGCAGGTGAATGTCAGTCAGAAGTCGCACTTAGCGCAGGCAATCGCCGATATCATCACGACTACTTTGATTCCCGCCCTTGAAGCGCAAGCTGTTGCGGAGGTGAAGCGCAATTTCGCCGGGACATATGCGTCAAAGGACCCAGTTCTGAATTCTTCTTTGACCCTCACGTTCGACGAGTCGGCTAGCAATACCGGTCTGTATATCTCGTCGTGGATCAGCAATGGGACCGACATGGTCCCGCTGGAGTGGTTTGGGCCGGGGCCCGTGAAGCTGCAGCCGTCGACCAAGCAGCCAGGCCAGCAAGCGTTCAGGGCGCTGCCCGTACGGCCGAAGTTGCCTCCTGGATCTGGACCGTTTGCAACCATGTTCAATACTAACGACTGGCTTGCGGTTTATAGCTCGGTGTATGGGGCGGTGGACATGGGCCTGTTTGTGTTTGATATTGGAGCGGATGGGAGAGCGACATGCGCAGAGCCTGCGGCGGTCAGGGCGAAACTAGAGCGCGTTGAGTAGGAGTTGAGGGACTTCAGATATCTTGAAAGCAATTGATGGGTGCAGCGTATCATTTTGTCCTTGTTGTTTCGTTACCTTGTAGCCTGGTAACACCTGTAAGACAGATGGCAGTTTCGAAAGGGAATTACACTTCAAGCTGGTATTACCACTGTCGTTTTCTGGGTCGAGTCTTGGCTTTCCGGACTCCCCATCGTGATGACTTCGCATGACCTTCCTTGCTTACAGCGGCCATCATATGATAGAACTGGCGATGGTCGTGATCGGTCTTTGATGCTCCGCAAGGGACGACCATCTCGCTCCCGGACAAATACCGCACCAAGTCGCAAAGAGAAGCGCTGTAACGTTAACGTACATGCCAAGGGTTGGCGGCGGGTGCTTGCATATACGCGTATGTAGGAGCGCACCGTAGAGCCTCTTAGGGTTAGCGTCACCCCATGTTTGTCCACCACAGTGCAGGGCTGAGCGCTGCGCAGTGTGGCAGAGCCTCTCTTACATTCCTTGTCCGATCTTCACAGAAGAGCGATGCGCGTAAAGAAGCTGGCCAATGGCACCTGCCAAGAAGAAGCATAGCCTCACGGACGGCCGATGATGCAGTGCCGAGCGCAAGGCTCTCTTCACCCCGTCGAAGTTGTATAATAATCGCGCGTCGCTGGACCGACTGAAATCGCAGAAACCAGCTCTCAAGTTACACTCAACCATTATTATAGCATACTTCAAGCTACCCCCAAGCTACCCCCAAGCTACTCTCAATCCAGCAATCGACATGGCCTCCGCACCCGCCGTCCCCCTGGCCCGATATCCAAGCAACATGGACCACCAGTCCTCAGATACAACAACTGCGAATCATTCTGCCGAAGCTCCTGAGACACTATACTCTCCAACCGCCGGCACACACCGCACGTACCACATCGACTTCTCCTGGGGCAAGTTCAAGTCCCTCATCACCGACAAAGGCGACCCCACCTCCACCCCCCTCTACATCGTCAACTACAAAGCCTTCTCGCCCCACCTCGTCTTCAAGTCCGCCTCGTCCGACACTGCCTTCGGCACCGGCACCATCCACCCCATCTCCATCAACGCCGAATGCACCGTGCACGACCGCCCCATCAAGCTCAAGGCCCTGAAACGCTTCAAGACCTCCTACGAGCACCAGTCCCTCGCCTTCTCCGACACCGCAGAGCTCGTGCCCATGACGTGGACCGGCAGCGTTGGGCTGAAGACGTGGGAATTTGTTTGTCTCGATGAGGCACAGATGCCCGTCGCGAAGTGCGTGATCAACATGTGGGGGATCAAGAGGGTGGGGTGGATTGAGTTTTTGGGAAAACGAGCAGCGGAGAGCGAGAAGGCACGGGACGAGATTATAGTGACGGGCATGACGTTGATGTATTGTATGGCGCTGCGGTCGAATAATATCCTTTCGCTGTTTGGGGCTGTGTTTGCAAAGACCGGGAAGGAGGGGAACGATGCGACGAAGCCGCATGCAGAGTGAGGGTTTGACGGTTTTGAGGCGGGATAGTGTTGGTCTTTTGGTGCGAGGAGTTCAAGATTATGGCATTCCATCTCCCTTGAATTTGTGAAAGTGTACTGAAGCGTTGCAGAGATTCTTGCACTATGAACAATTCCAAAGAATAGCTACCCTCGCGGGTATCGAGCCATGCAACTACGACTCTTTCCCAGATTTCTTAGACTCCATCGGTTTTGACGTAGCCATCTATGGCTCCTAGCCTTACACTCGAGGCGTAGGGTGGTGAGGATCTGAAGTGCTTCCTGGCGGCCTTAGCTGAAGGGGTATTTGCATCAATCATAAAATAATTCTGAGACCGATAGTGATATAACATCCGCGTCCAAATTGAAGGTCGACCGATGCTGTTAGCGACACGATGGCCATTAACCCCGTGCGTAGAGTCACATATAATCCTCTCACCGAGAATGTTCCTTCCACCGAGGATTGAAGGGAGAAGTAAAACTGTGGAATTCTTCCCCGACGAGCCTGGTTTTAACCCGGCGAATCGACGACTACGTGAACCAGTGCTTTAAGTCGTTGCACCCATGCTTCTCTGCTTCAGCCATGAGGGCCTCAGCTCATACTTCAGCGGTATTGGCGGCAATGTAAAGCAGTGTCAGGTGGAACCTGCAGCGTGAGGCTTGCAAGATCCTCTCTTATTTCCCAGCCAACGATGAAGCGAACAGCGATGGCTAGGGACACCCGCACTACCACTAACGTCGTGTTGTCATGCGCGATGAAATCGGATATGTCTTCCAAGCTTGCGAAAGAAATCAATGCGGTAAATCCTTCTTCCACACCAGTGCGAACCATTAGCACAGTTTGGAATTCTGCGAGCTTGTGGAGATTGGTGAGTCCCTTGAACGGCAGTAAAGCAAGCGATCGTATTGGTTGCCGCTCGAATTAACGCCCTATGGAGTTCGCACCCCATTCATATCCCGAAAAGTACACTGAAGCATCCCTAAACGATAGCAAGAAGCGGTGTAGACTATTGTTCAGATGCTGTAGGGTCTATGAATGGTCCCTCCAGTTTTCTTCGACTAGGATTGATTGGCGCTGGAGGTCTGCATTTTCTGCACATATGCCACGTAGCTTCGTCTTCGACCAAGAGTTTTGAATGACAGCCCTACATCAAGTTATCATATCACCATGTCAACATTTATCACCCTGAGGTGAGCAAAGAAAACTTTGTGGGTCGGGGTCTCATATGATTTCAAATATAGGTCGGGGCTCTTGTGAAATCAACGACCATGACGAAATGAATCCAGAGCTGGTCGTTGATGTACCCACCATTTTAGTCCCTTTAACGCACTCAATTCTCATCGCAAGAATATCCATGGGTATATTGCTGTAGACCCGAGCTTCTAGCTCTTCGATCAATCAATAGAACATCTTGCTGGCTACGAGACTCCAGCAACCGAGACCAACCGGATTCAATGAGCAAGCTTCTCGATATCGTCATCTCCAACGGGAACACGGCACTTGGGGCACTGTGGCTGGCCAAACTTCTTCGTATCCTGGTAGAGCTCGTTCAAGCAGAAGTGGCCAAACACATGGCCGCAGTTGAGGAGCATGAACGGTCGATGGTTCACATCCCGCTCCTGCGGAAGTCCGTGGGGATGATCGTACTCCTTTTTGCAAATATAGCATTTGCTCTGTGAATCTTCTGAGGATATGTTGGCAGTGCTGACTTCGCCGCCGAAGTAGTTGTCGTCAAAGTCGGCGTCATCGAAATCAGCGTCCTCGCCGGCAGAGTAGTTGCCGTCGTCAGACAGCTCCATCTCTTCGTCGGAATCGATGGACACGGGCTGAGAACGGTTGCCGGATGGTGTGTCGGTCTTGTCGGCAGTGGGCTTGTTTGACGTAGAGGTCCGGCCTTGGCGGGAGGCTCCGGCGGTGGTGGTCTGAGCGCGATGCACGGGGTTTGACATGACTGTGAAGGCGGTCGCGCTCGTGTGTGTTGGTTGTTGTGATTCTGGTAGTGGTTGTTGAGGGTGTGGTTGTGAATTTGATTTCCGATGGGTCGTGGGAAGGAAGCTGGAGTTTATGAGCATGCACATCTTCGAAACTGTGACTTCAGAGGAAGCAATACTTTCACTATGCTCCGCTCTGCTGCGGCTGTGGCTTGCCGTGATTTACTCCAACCTCAGTGCATACTGAACCTTCGTGAATGGTTGTCGACGATCACGTGCCTCGATTGTAAGTAACGCGTAATAGAAGACACGTAGCCGATGTGCTTGCTGCAATTGAAGGGAAGATAATTTGGTAGAGAAGAAAGAAAGAAAGAGAGAGAGAGAGAGAGAGAGAGAGAGAGAGAGAGAGAGA